TGTTGTCCATGTGTCGCGCTAAAACGCTACTACACTGCCAGTCCTGATTGACTTAGCGGCACCGTGACGGCGCTTCGTCTGCCGGAGGTGATATTACGAGGCAGTGGGCATGGCTCCGCCCCGTCGTAGACACATCGATGAAGAAGAAGCGGATTCGGCGCGCGAGATCCTAGCTACCCTGAGGTGCCACACCTACCTGGAAATATTGCAAATACACTCCTTTCTCTCTACCGTGTATTTGTGATCCCCGTAACACTATGTAACTTTAAAATAGAGTACTGCAGAGGAACGTAAAATGATGTTGCAGACGCTTTCTCTAGACTGCCCAACAATGAACATAACACCAGTACTGTGGAAGGAGAAGAAATCGTTTCTCTAGTAACTTCGGCAGTTGACAAGGCAACCGTACAGGCTGCAACAGCCATTGACCTTGGTTGACTAAAGTAATTCAGCAACTTAGTAAAGGCTAGTCACATAAAGAGGTGTTACCAGCTGACCAGATTCCATTTTTTGTTTACATTAAAGAGGAACTGTCACTGGTAGATGGTCTTTTAATGCAAGCAGATTGCATAATAATTTGCAAAGTGCTTCAATCAACTTTCTTGCATTTGGCGCATAAATTTCATCTTGGCATAGTTCGCACAAAGGAACTTCTAAGAGAGAGAGAAATACTGGTGGCCTCATCTCGATAGGCAAATTGAGGAATGTGTGAAAAATTCTCTCATATGTAAATCAGCAGATAGGTCAGTGAAACCAGTCTTTGCCCCTTAACAACCCGTTCCTTGGCTAGATCAGCCCTGGCAAAAGTTAGCCATGGCTATAGTCGGGCCCTTAAGTGTCACACCAAGCCCAACCTACAATAACTGTCATGTATTGTTATTCTTGTCGGCCAAAGTGTGTTTTACTTCCTCCACGACTTTGCACAACGTCATGAATTTTCTTAAATCTCTTTTCAGCACAGAGGGATTTCCAAGTCAAATTGTTACTGGGGATGGTCCTCAATTCATTTCTAGACCTTATGACGATGCTCTGAAGGAAAAAGGGATTCAGCATTGGAAGTCGTCGAATTATTATCCGCAATCCAATGACTTAATAGAACGGTTTATCAGAGCATTGAAGGAAGCACCGCTGAAGGGCAAATCAGTGAAACAGACTGTTAAAATCAAATTTGCCGCGGAATGTAAATAATAATAAAGCACATAACGAAGTTTAATCAGAACAATTCATTCCTGGGATCGCAAACTCGCAACAGAATAGAGAGTAAACATCAACAGATTAAAGCTTATGTCGATAATTGTAGAGGGGCCAAGCACCCCTCAGTGAAAGTTGGGGATTTTATTAAAGTTCAATCTTACCACACAGGTACAAGCAAGTTCTTAGGACCTTTTCAAGTCATGCAAAACAGAGGCCAAAACTAATTTCTGTTTAGTGATGGCCAGACTTGGAACCTTTTAAAATTGGGGGGGAATACCACCGCATTCAGGAAATGATAAATGCCTTCCACACACTGATTATTTGTAGGCCGAACTAGCTCGCTATTTCAGCTCCACTCACAGAAGAACAGTCTGATGCCCCCTCTCTGATCAGGTCACAAATATATCGCACAATATTACTCTGTCGGAGGTGGGTGTACCAACGTCTGAAGATATGCCCTCTACCACTGCAAACTTTTGCAATGAGAAATGGGCAGATAACCAGACACCTTCATCACCTGGCAGTAGCAGGGAACAGACGAATTCGAAAGCTGGAACTGGACATGAGGTACACAAGTGCCAGCATCCAAGATAGACAAGGACTAGTAAACGTCTTGTAGTAATGTTGTGCCGTGAATTACTATGTTTGTTGTGTTGTTTTCTTTTGTTTTGTTGTCATTTTATAAAGATCTCTCTACTTTTTGCATGTGAATGATACGTTTTCAGACGAGTTTGTGGTTTAGAATGTAAGATTGTTACCATATTTACTCGATTCTACAGCCCCCTCGATTATAACGTGCACCCTATTTCCATGACGGAAAAAAAAAAGTAAGACATCGATTGAAACGTGCACCCATTTTTCTCGCTGGTTCACACGATCACACCACTCGAAAAAACGACTCCTTTCGGGAGCATCTTCCATTTATATATGAGGTACGGGGGAAGCTTGTGCCCATCTGACGTGTAACAGAGCATTGCCGTCACTGTAGTTTTACCGTGGACCGATGCCAGCACGCGAACTTGCTTCGCGCCCTTCTTCTCGACGGTTGTGGAGCCAGGCATTTCGAAGTAAAGAGGCATCTGATCGACATTCTCGATTTCCCCAAGCAGGTAGCCGTTGTTGTGCCGCAAGTTTAGGACGAACCTTTGAAAACTGTGAAGCTTTTCATCGTACTCCTCCACAAAACTTTTCGCATATGCCCGTTCACCTTCGGAGGGAAAAGCCTTTCCTCTTCATAAAGTTAGTTAGCCAGCACCTGCTCGCTTTAAACTGGCTCCGCATTAGACCTTTTTCTAAGGCTAATTGCATAGCCCACACTTGGAGCAGTTCTGTCGTTCATTTGCGGAAACCGACCCTGCTGTGGTCCACTGAAGCCTTTGCGTGAAGCTTTGCTGTCGATAATCTTCTGCTTTTGTTTACGCCAGTCCCGCACGCACGTTTCGGGAACTCCGAACGACCGCGATGCGGCCAGATTTCCCCCCGTTTCTGCACACGCAATGACTTCTTTTAAAAGCGGCATCGTGGTGCGCTCGAGTTTTTGTAGTCGGCCCTTCCATACCGTCGATGCTAATGCACTACAAGATGACGAACTCCTCAGCACACGTACGAAGTGCCGCACATGGGAAACACATAGGCAGAAATGGCCGACGCGCCATGCCGACGCACGTTGGGGGCGGCCATTTTGGAAATGCCGATGGCAATAGAATGACCGTATTCATTTTTTATTTCGTACTCGATTCTAACGCGCATGCGATTTATGAACTCGCTTAACCGGAAAAAAGGCACGCGTTAGATTCGAGTAATTACGGTAATCCGACATCATTAACTAAGAACTTGTTTTGAAGGAGGAGATGATGTGATAATGTCAAGTGAGGCCATCCAGCGGTATTTTTCGAAACAACTTAACTCTATAAGAGTATTGGAACAGGCCATTCGGCTAACAACATTGTATTTAAAGAAAAAACTAAAAAGAATAAAATGACAGAAGGCCTCGCACTCTTTGTTTATCAGCATCTGACTAATATGGTTGTGTGTTCGTGGGCTCCCATCAAACGCCACGCGCAAGCCTCTATTGAACAATAGGGTGCGATCATAGCTGTATGATCGTGATACAACAGTGTGTGCATATAGTGTTAGTGAATTTTGAGTGCTTTAACGCTAATTCTGTGCATTTGCTTCGTCCGTTTTATGTATAAAGTGTGTTTATTGTGCGGTACCCGTCTCTGTCAGCGAAGAGGCCTGGGAAGTGGCCTCTTCAGTGACAGAGATTTGGGATGTTTGTTTGGAGAGTGTAGAAAAAAGTGGTGTAAACTTATACCTAAATAAAACTTGCTTCATTCTTTTGTAATCTTGCCGCAAAATGTTTTTGTGACCATGAGGTAGAACTGAAACATGGACAAATTTAACGACCATAGTATGCATTGCTCTGCTATTGCATTCCAGATTTGGCATCAAGATATGATAAAATATTTTTTACTACAATTGAAAAGAAACATTTATGTTTTGCCCTCAAAATTCGCATAATCAATTTATAGAAATAACGGTACAGTGTTAAGTGAGAAACACTTAACGTTTCGTCTGCTGCGATGCCAGGTGCGTCTGTCCAAGTGGTCTGCCCCTAACGCACCTCTCGTTTTGTTGTGAAGTAGAGTCAGAGGAGCGCAATGATGCGCCTACTTATCTTCGCAGTCGTTTTGCAGTATATTTAAACGAGTTTTGGCGAGAACTTACGAAAACATGTAAACTCGATCTAATATTCTACACTGGCATTAGAACCTACATCCATGCGCAGCGGTGAGTGGAAGACACTTCGTTTAAACTGTCAAATGCATCTTGTAAAGCTCCAAAGCCGCAGCAAATCTCAGACCTAGTGGAAGGCGCTGCTTCAGTGCTTTGCACCACATCCCACTACCCACACTGCGCGAAGAATGCAACTGATATTGTAGAAAAAGATTTGTAGACAGTTCGCTAGCTAAGGCAATCCTATCCAAAACCTGTACTTCCCATAATTCCCATGAGGGTACACGATTTCAGTGCCAGATTTCTCTCTAGGTATTATTGCATGAAACTCTATGGTACTGAAACGCCCTTTTGGATAGCTACTGGCTTCGCCTAGAGTTGGCTGTAGCGCAGATTGTCATTAGTTCTGTTTTCAGTCCATTGTAGACTGGTATGTACATAGTACGGTATACTGTTAGTATATTTTCAGTGCTCTAATGCAAATTTTGTGTATTTGCGTCGTCCGTACATTTTATAAAGTGTGTTTGTTTTGCCACGGTTGTCTCCTGCCTCTTTTTTAATGCAATCCGTAGCAAGCGCTCCCAGGATAATTGTGGAACCCATGTCAACAAAGCGTCACTTGCACTCGCTAACAACAGCCACTGTGTGCCGCTCTAGTCTAAAAACTGTGTGGTTTCTTTGTAAAAATAAAATTACAGCAGATTTGTTTTTCGTGCTGTCACTGCCACAGGAACATCGGTGCATTTGACAGCTTGAGAAGAAGTGATGAAACCAACACGCTTGATTTGTGTGGCACGGCCATTTAAAAATTTTTTTGTTAATCTTAACATGCTTCTAAAGAAAACAGATCAATTTCAAAATTTCGAAACCAAACATTTTTAGGCAAAAAAATCTCAAGCTTAAAATTGTGAAGGAGTAATGAGTGCCGAATACCAAGCTTTCACTGAGCAAACAATTTTATAGCCACCCCGAAGATAACAGCACAACGGTCACCGGTTTAACAATATTAAGACATATGACAAATGAAGCCACATTCGCAACTATCGCTGTTTAGTGAGAAGACTTACCCTCAGTGCGGACAATCTCGCGCACGCCGTGGAAGAATCCCTTGTACTTAGGGTTGGGGGAGGCCTGATCATTGATGAACTTGACTTTGACAGTCTCCATCGGCGTGACAGCCAGGATGGCCTCCGAAACGCCCGCACCCAGTCCGCACAGCAGCCGCATTTGCGGAGAGAGGTTGCCCCGCGAATCGACGCTGCGCTTCTTCAGGGCTTCAAACGCCCCAAACCTGCACAACATTTGCAGTATGCGGGCACAGTGAGCTCACTCTCAGAAATGTTGATTTCTATCCAAGCATCTAAAGACACAATGCACTGCACTGAAACAGAGCTCACTCTCAGAAATGTTGATTTCTATCCAAGCATCTAAAGACACAATGCACTGCACTGAAACATAGCCCAATCTCTAAAAAAAAAAAAAACCCATGTGCCAACTGCAAGTTCTCATCACAAATTCTAGAAGTGACAATTTCAAGCAAGTTCTGTATTTATGTACAAACACTGCAATCAAGGATTCTCAAGGCACACACAATCATGGAGGAACTGTAGTGTCAGAAGTTGCAATTTATTGAGGAGCCGGAGATGTTTACATCTGTCTGAAAAATTTTGAGCACTAGCCGCATCTAGGTTGATCTACGCTTACAGTTTTAATGCAGCTCAATTAATGGAAGTGACTATACTTTTTGGAGCATACTTTGAAGCAAGAAAAATACTGTCTTGGAGTAGCCATAAGTGTTTTAGGAGAATAAAACAGTGCTAGTTTAGAGCAGCTATTGGTGTATCAAGAGCAGATATTATATTTGCCGTACATTGATTGGAGTTGAGAGCACTGTCGAAGCATCTCACAAATATTACTTATTAGGAGATATATTTAACAGACCACAAATGAAAATCTCATAAAGCAAACAGTGGCAGGTTGTCAAAAATGTGCTGTGAAATGAGCTACACTTTAAAATACTAGCAGTATTTATGGCATAAATCGAAGCAAACCAGAAAAACTCAGCGCCACATTTTAGAAGTAACCACAGTCCCATATAACTGTTGCCAAATAAGCAGCAGATGATCGGTATGAGAAAAGCAATCGTGCTCATTTTCAGATTTCACCACACTAGACTGGGTGTCTAGCCCGAAAAAGAAAAAGTCAAATGAGCTATATCCTTAATATGCCATTTCTTGTCGCACAAATGAGATGAGAGCCAAAATGAGATTTCCTCACTTGGCTAAAGTCCAGGAAAAATAAAAATTCGTGCTAGCTTCATCTCTTCACCTCATCTCCTAACAGTTGCAGCAGGGCCTGTGGGGGTGTCCTGCAGGAAACTACCAATTTTCCCCACTGTCGTAAAAACAGCTTTTTGGTGTTTTACCTGTGTCTGTTGCAATCAGTGGCACATCAAGCGGGTTTACTAATGCATACAGAATCGCCGTACGAACAGACTCAAGCACAGTCAGTCATGCACTGCACACCAATTAAGTAAAAAAATAAACTAGATACAAACGAACAAGATGATGCTTGCTTCAAAATGGGACACTTTCACGCATCAACATATTATGTAACATACAATTTTATACTAATGGACATGATGAAAATTCGCTACTTGCCATATTTATTGCTATTTTTCATACTCTTTATTACACCCTCGAATGCTCAAGCAGGCAAATTGCACAGACCTTTTTTTTTTTGGCCAATAGCCACCTTCATGAACTTCACAGCCAAACTAACTTCATTTGCATTCTACAAAGTACCTGGGAGAGGACGTGCCCGTACCAAGGGAGTGACATCCTCATAGAGCTAATTGGGATGAAAATTGGACACAACGATAGCACCATCTGTATTCTGGAGACAGTTGTAAAAAGATGGGATGAAAACTACTATTTTACTTACCGTATAAACGCGTGTAAGGGCCGCACTTTTTTTTCAAGAAATGAGGGCCGATTTTCAGGGTGCGGCCCATACACGCAACGTGCATTTTTTTTTTTTGAAGCAAAAGAAAAAAACGCACCAGCTAGCGAACGAAGAACGTTTATTGCAGCATACAGCATATGTGCTTAATCGTCGTCGCTCAACGAGTCCTCAGACTCGGTGTCCGAGATGGTGTGTTGCGGAGCACCGTCCTCCCACAAGCAGTCATCTTCCGCGCCATCCAAGCTGTTTGATATGCCGGTGACTTTAAAGCTTCGGGTCACAACGTCCGTCGAGACTGAGTTCCACGCCGACAGTACCCAACCGAGAACAGTCGCAAGCGGTGCCCTCTTCAGCCGTCCAGTCGGCGTCTGCTCGTGGCTGCCGCTTGCCATCCATTCCGTGTACAGCCTTCTGAATTCCACCTTAAAAGGTCGATTAACGCTGACGTCCAAAGGCTGCAGCATTCCAATGAGGCCGCCCGGAATCACGGCCATGTCTGTGCCGACACGGCGCAGCTGTTCCTTCACCTTGTCGGTAAGGTGACCGCGGAAACTGTCTAATACTAAAAGTGACCGTTTGGCTAACAGCGCTCCTGGTCGGTTTTGCCAAACACACTTCACCCAGTCGAGCACCAAGTCATCGTTCATCCACCCCTTTTCTTGGGCTCGAACTATGACTCCCTTGGGGAACACTTCGTTCGGAATTCTTTTTCTTTTCAATACGACGTACGGGGGTAGCTTCCGCCCGTCCGCGGTCACACAAAGCATCACTGTGCAGCGTTGGCGCTCAGCGCCGGTGGTCCGCACGGCGACGCTCTTTTTGCCTTTCAGTTCGACTGTGTAGTTTTCCGGGCAGTCAAACCACACAGGAGTTTGATCTGCATTCCCTATTTGCGACAGTAGATAATTATGTTGATGGCGAAGGCCGATGACATATTTATGAAAACTAAGCACTTTATCTGTGTAGTCTTCTGGCAGCCGCTGGCACAACGTGGTCCTTCGCCGAAAGGAGAGATCCTTCCTTTTCAGGAATCGTCGCACCCAGCCAGCGCTAGCCTTGAAAGTCCCGGCTGGTATATCCTTCGCACGTGCCAAGGCTAGTGCCTTCACGCGCAGCATGTCTGTAGTTAGTGCATATCCATCGTTCCGCACTTCTGTCACGTATCGGAACAACTCTTCTTCTAGTTCCGGAAACTTGCATGGCTTTCCTCGGAAAGCGCGCTTTTTGCTGTTCGTGTTTTCCAGAGCTTCCTTTTGTGCGCACCATCTTCGAACACACTTTTCGTCGACGTCGAATTTTCTGCCGGCGGCACGTTTCCCGTGCTCGAGCGCAAACTCCACCACCTTTAACTTGTAGCCAGCCGTGTAACTATTCAGGTGCTTGCCCATCGTGCTACAACGTGAACACTCGGCAGAAGACAAGCACGAGAGACAAAACGGCGTGCACAACTCCTACAAATGGCCGGCTGAACTGCACAAGTTGGTGATGCTGATGCCGATATCGAGAGCGCGTTTGTATAGTGGTGCGAGGCACGAAGGATAAAATCCCGGTTTAACCTTCAGGTAACGAGCGTATGAACCCTAATAAAAAAGTTGAAATATTTAGCAAACTTTATGAACACCTTAGCACGAAGAAAGTTAAACAAAATATACTAGTGACGCACCTGTAAACCGCTGTAAACTTTGATAGTGATGATGATGGTTGCGTTTTTCGCGCCATCTATTGACAACGTTCAAAAGCTCGCATGCACGCGCGCGTTTTGAATACGTGTGGGTTAATGAAAATGTGGGTGCGGCCCTTACGCGAATTTTTTTTTTTTTTCGAATATGTGCGTCATAAAAACGGGGTGCGGCCCGTACACGGGTGCGGCCCTTACACGCGTTTATACGGTATAACTGAAGAAGTTTTTATTATCTTTTACTGTCAAAGAGCTTTTTCTAGCAAATAACTAAGAAAATATTGACTGTATAACTTATGGCTGCACATAAAACGAAACAGCTTTCAAAGGCACAAGGCCAACGTTCTTCATAGCAGACGACACCGTCGCTGTCTGCTTCTGCGTTATGGCTGTCCCTAGATCGCTACAGCAGCCCACTCTCAATTTCTCTCGTTTTCATACAGTAGCACATTGTAGCAAACTACTCACTAGAAGCTCACAATTATCTTGCATACCTACTTTAGTAAGTTAGTGATGCCACATACAGGCACAGCAAAATAACCACACTTATTGCACAAACTTGCTGCGATAAATTATTTATTCGTGACTCAGTCAATGTTTACATAAAATGAAGGCCTCGTAAGTAATGCTTTAGCATGTACAGCAGTGAAAAGTATGCATGTATAAGCATTCATGTGCAAACAAGGTACGTAATACGCATAGCCCCAATGCAGATGCCCGGAGCATAGAAGCTGTCCAGCGCTGGCTGATATATACATCGAACTGCACGAAACCTTCACTGACGTAAGTAAAAGTATAAAGCTAACGACCCTGCACTTCTGTAGCTCAAGACTACACAACATCTGTTGACAGAATTTGGCAATCTTTCTGTAATTAAGATCAAAATATCCCCGTGCCTTTCACGAGCAGCGCGGCGCGACTGTTTTTCTGGTTTGCATTGCAACCTAAAGTGTGTCACTTTTTAATTTTCAACACGCACGCACTATTCATGCCTTTTGTGGTGTCTGGGTTTTGGTTCCACTTTTAGAACCGAAACCGTCTTATTTGCATTACACAATTCAGTGAATGATGATTATGTTTGATGTTTTGTGGCGCAAGGGCAATTTCACGGCCAAAGAGCGCCAGTTCATCTTAGAATTGTGAATTCAGTTAATGGAAAGCTCAGGAAGAGGCCAACGAGAACTGTTGCTTTGCACGTCGCACGGCTCCCAAAAAGCTAGCCAGTGGGCAAACAAGCACCCACTACTACTTTAATAGATCAGAAGTGTCTAGACCAAAAGATGGTCACGGTAAATGTCGAGAGTAAAGTCAGGGTACCTGCAAGTTTGGTAAGATATGTCTTTCATTTCTCACTGTGACAAAGCAGGAAAACACTCAGAGTCCAGCAGCTCAAGATATCTGCATAAATGTTAGGTACAAAAAGAAGCACTACGGCCATAAAGCAGAAATTTAGCACTTGAGGATGACTGACGAAGAAAAGGCCAACATAGCGGAGCACCTCGAGCACGGTGTGCCCATGAAAACCGTATTGAAAAATATAAGAACATCTGCTGCTAGCAAGCTAAGATCAGCACATTTGGCAGAGCGCGTAAGTCTGCATAACATCAAGTGGCAGTTTCCCATTGCTGCTCCTGAAAAGTGTCAGCCTA